AGTGGTTGGGGCATAGACTTGGATGACTGTGATATTGAATGGTTTGCCTTGGATACGCACTGAGATCATTCTGTCGTTTTTGAGGTTATACCCCATTACTACCTTTCCCACACTCTCATTGACTATGAGTGCTACTCCATTTCTTCGAAGGGTTTCTTGCCCACAGTAGTAGCTCAGTTTAATTTGTTTTCATAATCCATTTAAACTTCTATAACATAAACTATTCTTTCCCTATACTGAAGAGAATCTTGGAAAAGAGGTTGTGATTTTTAAAATTTCTCTACAATTAACATTCTGTTGCCTAAAAATAAGTTGCAGTCTAGAATCAGATCAGTATTAATTAAATTAACTAAATCACATTTAACTAAATCAATTAAATTCACATTTAGGTGTCTCTCAGATATCTAATTCAATCAAATTCAATCTAACGCTTTTTTTGCACATATCCAGCATTTTGTTTAAATTATATATCCTGTTCTGTCATATACACTGATCTTGTAAAAATACATATTGATATTATGTGAACTTGCAGTACTAAAAACTTTTCATCCATTTTCAGAATATTTCATTCAGAAGCTTTTCTCATTTTAGTTTCCTTGCTTTATTTCCGAAGTATCAATATTTTGGTGATTTAAAAAACCATTTTGATATTTCATACTAGAGATGCAACTGACCAAGCCATACTTATTCATATTGTGATTAAATAATTTGTTATGCACAAACGAAAAGGAATGTGAAATATTTGGGTTTGTTTTGTGTTAAAATATTCCAAATATAGACAAGAGTTTTTCTGTAATGTTCCCTATCATGGAAAATATTATGAGAGAATTAAAACTTAGCCTGAATAATTATTCAGAATTAATTAAGATACAGTATCATAATAGTAAGATGGATAAACATGTAACATTGTAACATTGTCACTCCCCTCATTTTTAGGGCTTGGATTTAAGGAGATCACAATTTTAAAGTATTTTTGTATGTAAATATAAGTACATAAACACACAAAGACTAATGGAACAAACCAAAGTTTAAAAAAGAGTGATTTTTGAGAACCATTGTTTGATCACTTTAAATGCCATTGTTTGATAGTAATTTTTTTAATTAAAAAAAAATACAAGAACACAACTATTGCTTGAATGAAATTGAGCAGCTTTCAGCTGAGAAAATGTGAAAAGGTGCAGAATTTGCTACAAGGATTTTTAGTAAAACATAATTGTGCCTTTTTAAGATGCTGATTCTCCTTGTTTCATACTTAAAGAATTAATTTTTGTAAAAAAATACTTTCCCTTTAAGTTCTCCAAGAGACATTGTAAGCTGATTATGATAATGTTTGATTCTAATATTACAAGAAAAGTTGTGTTGAAGGCAAAGTTTTTGTACTTTGTGTATATACATTTCTGAGACATGTATATAGATAATTTCAGCCAAGGAGAAGATGTTCCAGAATACTAAACCTCATTATACCTGCAAAGGCTGCACTGACCTAAGGTTGGAATCAAGCCCCAGTGTCCCCACAATGCTTATGAGGCTTGAAGAGGTCTTCATAGGTTGAATCAATTAATTTTGTAATGTTTATTTTGCAGTTGCAGAGTTCTATTGGAGGGAACTCCTGCCTCCTAGCTCTTCCTCTATCTGGTGAAGCTCCTGCTCCATCATCCTTTTTGGCCGGTCTGAGGGGTAGCTTTGCCACTCCTTTGCACAATCTGCCAGTATACATTCTTTTCATCCAGAATAGTAAAAACGTCCATGCCTGCAAGGCTCAAGAATCTCTTCAGTTGCAAGGATACTATAATGCTATTTTTGCACATCCTTGTGTAGGTCCTATGGATCCTAACATATTCTCAACTCATAGGTCTTCTTTTTTTTTTTTTATGACTGCTTAGCCAGCGTATGGTCCTCTAACTCTTGATATTACTTGTTCCTTTTCCATTTGAGATGAAGTATATTTTAATCTAGCAAGTGTGACAGATGTCATCTGTGTATGTGCATGTATATTGAGGACTACTGCTGGATCATTGTGTTTATAGTGACATCCTTCAAATTTATCAAAACCATCAACAAGTTCTGAATATAAAGAAACAATTTTCTTGTTCAAAGGCTCTACTGTGTTTACTATACTAACCCAGCAAACCAACTCAGAGATAATCATGCTTTTCCCCCAATATTGGAAGAGGAGAAATGTGTCACGTAAAGTAGTATTATAATTCTTCTCCTTCAAGCTTGACTTCTAACAAGTAGATACAGGCTGAATCCTAGTTCCTCCATAAACTACAAAGGTTATTTCACTCTTAAGTATTATATTCTTGTCAACAACTCACAGAAAACTTCGAACAGAAAAAGATTTGCTCTGCTCCTATATCAAGTTTGAAGGCTTAAGGTTGTGAGGTTGTCCTGCTTCCTGATTTACATAGTGAGTAGAGATAGAATGTAATAATTCTCCATTAACCATACTGCAGCCCAGTTATAGGTTTGGATTTGGGGTTTTGGTTTTTTTTGGTGCACATTTATGGCAAATCTCAAATGCAAGACAGTTTCAAGGCTGATGTGTTGTTCCACAATGGAGCTACAGATTTTTTCTGAGTTGATTATAGAAGTTCAGAAACCTTTTAAGAGTCCATTTCTTTTCAGTGATATGTACTGAATGCAACTCTTTGGAAGATGCTGAAGTAATTGCCATTGTCTGCAGTTCGGTTTTCATTATTCAGTTGCATGGCTTGTATCAAGTGCTTTTTCTAACATAAGTGCAGACCACTCAGAAGTGTTTCTTTTGTATTCAGTATAAAAGATGAGAAAATAATCTCATCTCTCACCAAGTCATCAGCTATTGAACCAAAATAATAGTTGCTGATCTTAAGATTGAGGTTTATAACAGACTTTTTAATAATGTCTCCAGGAATCTGTATATGGTTCCAAAAGGCGTAATGCTCAAACAGAGCATTCCTGTATGTTGTAAACTTAATAGACACTCTTCTGTGTCATCTGGGACTGCAGCATCAAAAAAAAAGAAAAGAAAGAAAGAAAAGTATTATAAGCAGCGAGTGTTTCGTTCTCCACACAATGTAGCAAGATAGTTACTTGCCATTTCTTTGAAACCTCTTCTATCCCAATTGCAGTCAAGTACAAATGAATATTCTTCTGTTTCTAATTCTGGCATTAATGCAAGTAGAGGAAAAAGCATTAAAGAGTCCATGCTCACAGGCAGTCCCTGTTAAAGCATAAAGTGCTCATGCCATACCAGTGCATACTTAAGCAGTTCTTGAAACAGATATTTATTTACTTGGCCTTGTAAAATGAACAGCGGTAAGGTGAAGTTACAGCAAATTAGAAAGTTAATTTATAAACATGCAGTTAAATCTATCAAGATTAAGTGTTGCCAGCTAGGTGGCCTTAAAGATTGAATGAACATGCATTCAGCATGCATGAATAAAGAAATTATACCATATGTATTTTGCCTTGATATGTTTGTAAACCCATCCTATGTGCCAGAGTACCAGACACCAATTGGAAGCAGCATGGTTTGCAGCCAGCTAGTTTTCTCCCATTGCCAGAGTTGTGAGAACATAATGAAACAGGAAAAAATCTCTGATTTGTAAGGAAAATTTGCTCTATCAAAAATCCAGTGTGAACCCTACCTTCACTCAGAGTAAGAGTACCCAATGGAGTGGAGTATGGTGGGAGGAATTATGTGAAAAATTAAACATTGTTGGAAAGAAACATCAGGGTAGAATATATAGATTAAGCATTATTATCCTCTGGAAGTATCAGCACCAAGCCTACCTTGACTGATCTTCAAAGCTAAAACCATTGGCACTGGTTAATACATAGATGGTGAATCACCTTGAAATGCCATCTAGTTGTCGGCTAGACTGGTAAATTGGGGGGGGGGGGAACCCATCCTTGAAGAAGACATTTGCAAACCATTTCTGGAAACTGCCTTGGGAACTGTGTGGATGCAATTATACAGGATAGAGGAAGTTAATCTTGTCACTGGTGTCAGAGAACATGGTGACCAATTTTGGCTGATCTCAAGAAAGGTTAAACAGGGTTAAAACTGGGAATCTATCAGTAAATCCCAGGGCTGCAGGCAAGTAAAAAAAAAAGTATGCTGGAAGAAGATAATGGCAAAACACCTTTGTATTGTTGCCAAGAAATAACATGGACCTATCCATGTAGTCACCAGGAGCTGACTGCTCTTTTTCATAAGTCCACTGACATATAACTAAGCAAGGGTACACCAATATAATTTGAACTTCTTTACCTTTATGTTGCCAATAAATTTATTTATTTTCTAATTATTGTACATAATATCTCTGACTATGACATTCTTAGTCCCTTGCTTATAATGGACTGTTTTGGTTTTCTGAGAAAAAAGATGGTGGCACATGATCTACATTTTAAAATACAAAAAGGTAAAATATTTTTTCTGGGAAGTATTAGGAACAATATTGGCATTCTTCTGTTGTTCTCATATTATTACAACAATGTGCACTGGTGGGATTTAACCCCCTTCCCCTATTCTCCCACAGCAGTAATGATTATCATAGAAGTTTTCATAGAGCTTCCTTACAGTCCTGGCTTCATCAGGAGATCTGCTAAACCAGATGATAGAATTTTGCTCTGAGCAAGCTATGAATGATCTTTCTTTAACTTCCTTCTAGAATTGTCAAGTAATCCATCTTTGGCTTCAATCCTCATACCTGCTCATGCTCGGAATCAAGCTGTTTCAACCCCTACCAATACTTCAGCAGCCTCAGGTGAGATCACATTTATGTCTGCCATATTTTTTCTTGGTGTGCAGTTCTTCCTCCCACAATCTGACACAAATGCTCACCATCCCAGTGCCATTGCAAATGTTAAATCTTGAATTAATAAATTTTAGTCAAGTATCACAGATCTCTCACATAAAGATTTGGAAAATTGCATGCGGATACTAGCATATCAGCAGCATAAATACATAATGAAGAAAAGCATTTCATGCTCGTTGTAAGCCATTAGATGTCTGCATAATTACTTAATCAGAGCCACTCATGGGTAAAAAAGTCAAAATGCCAAAACAACATTTCTTCCATCTTCTGGGTATATCTTAGGTATTTGTCTTTGGTAATGGCATACGGGGCTGTATACAAATGATAAATGTGGTAAGTATTGCAAAGCTACGTTACTCTATGTAGGGGAATATTTTTTGAGAAAATACATGTATAAGATTGGATATACAAGTAGGAAACTAGTGGAGTTAGGCAATAATACTCAAACAGAATCCAAAGTATAAAAGAAGCTAGATGCAAGTTTTTTAATCAGAGAATAATGGAATTGCAAAATATGTTAGATATCTACCAGATTAATAACTTAATATTCTAGAAATTTAACTGAAGAAATTAGTCAGAAGACTTGGAAAATATATATTAGCCTCAGAGTTGATTGTGCTAATCTTACTCCAAATACTTACAGAACCATAGCATTATAGACGTAGAAGGGCTCTTTTTGCTGTTAACTCCAAGCCACTGCTCTGTGTAAGAGTTCAAATCAAGCACCCAAAACACATAATTCTCCAGCCTTTACTTGAACACATCTGCTGAAGGGGAATTCATCATCTTTCTAGGTAATTGGTTTAATTGTCAAACTGCTCTTAGACTTAGGATCTTTTGCTAAAATGCAAGTAGAGTTTGCCTCCCTCTAGAAAAATACCATTATTCTCTGTCCTGTTGTCTGAGGATAAAAATATTCAACAATTACTTGAAATATTTGCAACTTCTATCTGCTGCTGTTCAGAGATTTCCTACAAAATCATTTGAAAGAACACAGATCTTCCTTAAGAAAACAATTTCAGATCTCAAATTTTCCAAGAGAAGGGGGGTGATTCTTCACCTACCATATAATCATCCCAAAATTCTAGTGAGAGCTATCATAAAGGGGAAAAAAACCCACTGCTATTATATCTCTATAATCACAATTATTTAAATTTGCTGCCGTGTCACAGGCTGAAATAGTTAAGCCAGAATCTAAGATGGTAAACTTTTAATCAGGCCCCATGGGAAATGCAGCCTAATTCCAGTCCAGTTCTAATCCATTAGAAATTGAATAAGGAATTGGTTGTAAGATTTTCAAGAGTTGCTTCTAAACTAGAAGACTACTTATCATAGCTGAGTACCATATAGCATCAAACCCAGAACTTTGGCTGGTTTAATAGTTCCTGGGACATAATTATTACCAAATTGACTGCAAATTTAGCAAGGGGGCGGCTTTTACTAGAAGCTGTCTTGTTTGAGTAGACCAGCAGGTAGAAGATTGAAAATAGACACCTAGATAATTAAAGGATTTTGCCTGCTCTGTGAGTTTGCCATTGATCGTCTGTCTAACTGGGTCCTTAAAACATTTCCTAGAGAATACCAATCCTTTTGTTTTAGAGTAGTTTATTTTACAGTGTTCTCCTTAGAGCAGCAAAGCAATAGAACTTTAAGGCATCTTCAGAGGCCTATTTGGAGATGGACCAAGTCTACAGGTAGTCCTTGTTTAGCAAATGTCTCGGATAGTAATCATTCGCAAATACAACGGTAGTAAATAAAAAAATTCCAACCAATGCATGCACTTATGCCCAAATTATTCATGAGAAAACTTTATTAAGTTCCATCTTTCTTGTTTTTTTGCTTCTCATCCCTTCTTATCAATATCCATTGTTCATTCTGCCATCCAGTTTGGTTTCTTCTGTTTCTTGGTCTTTGGCAGTCTCTTTTCAAAGTCATCCTTAACAACTGCTTTGATTTCATTCTACATTTCCTCTGGTTCCTGATCAGTGAGGTTCAGGACTTCAGAGTGATCCCTGATGTTCTTTTAAAAATGGTGGGCATATGCTCAGGATCATAATCATGGGAACTGGTTGACTTTGTTCTTCCACTTTAGTTTGACTTGGAACTTGACATGAACCAGATTATGATTTGTTCCCTAGTCAGGTTTTGGTCATGTCTTTGCTGTTATAACTGAGCTCTTCCATCTCCTTGTACCAGTAATGAACTCAATTTGATTGTCTTGTGCTCCATCTGGAGATGTCCTTGTATATACAGTAGATTTCCCATCACTAATAACCATTGGTATGCACTCCATTTATTATCTTCTAAAACTATTTAATCTATGGCTATCAACCACAACCATGACAAGAAGTCCAGTAAACCATGTTTTACAAGAAACTGTCTCTGTTTCTATCACCTACATGGCTACTGTGCCATTTATGACTGTAAAGCCCTAAAGCAGCTCTGAATTGAGCCCAAAAACAAAGGGATAATTAGTGAAGCTCTTGATGTAATTCCTCATCAAGGAAGAAATGGATGAGCATCAGTGAGTTGTGTTCTTCTCTCTATCATCATTAATGCACCTTAACACTGAAGAACATGTATATACTAGTGAACATAATTTCCTCTTAGTTTTTCCCATGGAGATTTATTTATTTATTTATTGCTATTTATTGCTATTAACAGTGCTTTGTGGAAACAGCTAATATTCTCACACCACTGAACAAAAAGCAGCAGAGATATTGTGGTCTAAACCAAGATCAAAGAAGAACTGGAGGGCGGGGAGCTTTAACCTCATGTCCTCACAATCCTAAGAAAAACTGTTAAGGAAGAGGATGTAGGTTATCTGTCTAGCACATCTGTCTCACAATAACCCATCACAGGAGTTATTGAAAGCTTTTACCTGGTGTAAAGAACTTTGAATCTTGATATGTGTGTTCTTTCTTTTCTCTATCACTATACTTCATATTGAAGTGGATGTGTAAGCCAGTATGAACCCTCCCAGGTAAACCAGACAGGAAAGACAACTGGATGAGCTAATTCTACTTTATTGTAA